TCCAGCTTCTCCGATGTGACAGTCGCCGGAGAATCCTCCCAAAGTGACGACTAGTCTTTCCAAATACTCACCTTCTCTTGATATGAGCTCTGTTTGATATCGATCCAGGTATGGGTTGCAATCACTTCCACATCAACAAATCTCATTGATGTAATGATTCAAATACCTTTGAAGACTTCTTCTACCTGAATTTTATCGATTTGAGCTAGATCTCAAGTTATGCGCAAGAATTTTGGGGACACGCTTCAGTCACCATCCAGATTTGAAGACAAGATCTATTGAGATAAGTTTTACCTTTATAATTTAATTACTCATCTTTGAGATATATTTTGATACTCAGTCCTTGATTATTCTCCTCAACAGGTTAAACCCCACCGAAATTAATACCATTGTTTAAGTCGACTAATCTCCGACCTTGCATCGCTCACCCTTTTCCAGGAGACTAAGGTAATCTTTCACCTTCTTATTTTAGTCCTCTCCTGATTTGCTTTGAACTGATGTGGTGCTCTTTTTTCTTTATTAAACACCATTATAATGTTTGTTTTGAACTTTCTGAATCCTCAAATTAGGAGTTTTTTCTTTATCCTGTTGCAAAATAGCTTGGCCTGTTGTGGTAGTTCCTGTATATTTCGATATTGTTGTCTCTCTGTACTTGCAAAATGAGCAAACAACTTAGTTAAAACATCAACAAAGTTATTCCCTTATCTGAGGACGTGAACCACCTCCACCACATGACTCCTTATCATTGTCTGAATGTGTTTGATATCCCAAGCTATCTGCCATGGGACCTCTCATACTCCATGTATAACTTTCTGAGCCACCAGTGAGTCGTCTCAATTATCAAGGGAAGGAAATTTCCTTAATTGCAGTATTGTAACCCTTCTTTAATTGCCATGACATCTGCCTCCAAAATAGATGTAGTATTAATTCTTCTAGATTCTGCATATTTAAAATCTCCTCCTATATCTCTAATACAAAAGGCTATACACCCAACTCCTGATTCAAGCTGATAAGAAACATCAGTATTGCATTTATATACTCCCATGGGGGATGACTCTATCTGACCACCATAGTTTTTGTCAATTGAGCATATCCTTCAAGATAGTTGACAATTAAGGGCCAGTTTTGAGGGACATTCTTTAACCATGGATATCTACTCTTAGTAAATAAGTAGATGTTTCTATGTATCTCTACAATCATTGAGGTTGTTGACATATTTCCACTATGCTTCATCACATTCCTCCTCTTCCAAATTTCCCAAGTTATGAAAACATGAATTACTTTAAACAATTGCTTATATTTAGGACTACCATCAGCTTTCCACCAATCTTCCATAATTTGTTGAAGCTGATTAATTGGAAATGATAACCCTGCAAAATTTCTAAAAGTTTTCCAAACAGATTGAACACTGGGACAATTAACAAATAGATGAGAGAAAGTTTCAGGAGCACTATTATTGCAGCAACTACAATCAACCCTCTCCACTATGTTCCTTCTAATTAAGACCTCCCCAATAGGAATCCTTCTAAACCATAATCTTCATATAAAAAGGACACCTTAAAAGGCAAACCTTTCTCCCAAATTTTGGAGATATCTTCTATATACTCTCTTCTACTTCTGCATAATTCCCACGCTGAGCTAACTTTGAATTTACCATCACTACTAGGCATTCACCATGCTCTATCTCTTCTTTCAGTACTAGTAAAGCTTCCTAAGGTATTACATGTGTGATTGCATATATCCTCATTGAAATTACTTTCCAGTGCATTAATCTTCCATCCATTTTCAGCATATAGTTCTTTGACATCTTCCAGTTGACTTTGGTTATGTGATATAGGCATCAAAAAATGCAAAGCACCCAGTTGTGTCCAGTTATCAAACCACACACTGGCTTGTCCTTCTCTAGGTTCCCACCAGATCTCTTGATCAAAGAAATCCCTAGCTTGTAACATAACTTTCCAAACTTGAGATCCTCAATTCCAGTCCACCAACTGTGGCTTTTGTCTTTTACAATACTTATTCCACATAAAATTTGTCCACATGGTATTTTTGGTTCTAAAATTCCACCACAGCTTAGCAAATAAATCTTTGGATACATCAAATAAAGATCTAAAACCTAAACCTCATTCCTCCTTGGGTAGAAAAATATCACCCCATGCTACCCAGTGAGTGGCTCTTCCTTGTTCTTAAGAATTCCACAAGAATTTTGCAAAAATCTTATGAATATCATCAATGACACATTTAGGAGGCGTGATAGATAAGAGGAGATAGACAAGAATACTCTGTAATACATGGTTAATCAACACTGCTTTGCCACCATAAGATAGAAGTTTCCCTTTCCACATTTGAAGTTTATTCTGAATCTTCTTGATGAGCTCTTTGAAATAAATCTTCTTCTTCTTAGCATGACCAATAGGACAACCCAAATAAGTTAAAGGAAAATTTTCTTTGCAGAAACCTGTGATTTCCTCCACCATTTGAACAGAGCTAAAAGCAGCTTTGTTAAACAAGTAAAATAAACTTTTTTCTTTGTTTATAAGTTGTCCTGATTGTTGTTCATACATTTTCAATGTGTGCATTATCAACTGGAGAGAACTCATATCAGCTGAGGCAAAAATAATTGTATCATCAGCATAAGATAAGTGATTCAACTGTTCACTCTATTTAGGAAGACCATATCCTTTTATATTCCTCTTCTAGGAATAGATGATTTAGAGCTCTCGTTAATACCTCAGCACTAAGTATAAACAAAGCAGGAGACAAATGATCTTCTTGTTTAACCTCCCTTGATGAATGGAAAAAATCATGTGCTTGACCATTAATCAATACAGAGTATCAATTATTAGCAATAATTCTCTAAATCATGTCAAGCATCATATAATTAAAACCCATTTTTTCCATTACTTTAATAAAAAATCTCCAATCAACCCTGTCATACGCCTTTGCCATGTCAAGCTTGATAATCACATTATCCGGTTTGCCCCTCAACCTAATATCAGTAACAATTTCTTGAGCCAACAATACATTTTCAGTAATATTTCTTCCTTTGACAAATCCAGATTGATTCTGGGATATCAATCTAGGAAGCAACACCTCCATTCTATCATGCACCAATCTAGATATGATTTTATTAAGGAAATTACTCAAGCTAATAGGTCTAAGATCAGAAAAGTATTGAGGAAAATCCTTTTTAGGTAATAGCACCAAGTTAGTATGAGTAATAGACTTAGGTAAAGTAGCTCCTTTGAAGAAAGCCTAAACTAATTTTATTACATCTAAACCAACAGTGTCCCAACAGTTTTGATAAAAACAACCAGAAAAATCATCTGGTCCACAAGAGCTTTATGCATTTAACTTAAATACTACCCTCTTGATCTCAGCCTCATCAGGTAACTTGGTCAATATATCATTTTCCTTTTGTGAGATTACAAGATTAATATGCATTAGTAGAGATAGGTCAGAATGATTAACCCTTGCAGTAAATTGTTTGGTAAAAAAATTAACCCATTCTTCTGCAATCACATTTTTTTATTCTGCCCATGAGCCATCAGATTTAATTATTCTCCTCAGGTAAAGCCTCTTTCTTCTCCCTCTCACTAAACTGTGAAAAAATTTAGTGTTCCTGTCCCCTTTCTCAAACCATTGCACACTAGCTTTTTGTCTCCAAAACTCTTCTTCAAAGTGTAAATAAACCTTGAGCTCTGCATGAGCCTTCTGAAGAATACTTCTGTTAGCGGGTGATGAATCATCAAGAAATAGTTGCTCCTTCAATTTCACAATCTCTTCTCTAATTGCTAATTGTCATTAATTTATGCTTATATTATTAAGGATAAATGATAAGATGTAATAATTTTCATTTTCTTTTACTTTATTAATGTTTGTACTACGTAATCTTGTATGTAGGACAATATAGTGTTTTAGTTTTAATGAGTGATGGGTTTTAAGTATTATTTTATAAATTCCATGATATTAAATTCCGGGTAATTTTACTAGTGGAGTATATATATATTTGGATCCATGCATTTTTGTTGATACAAAACTAAACTAACTATGTTTTTTCTTGGCCACAAAAACTCCGTATCTTAAATTAATTAGGGAATCGTTTGTAGGATGAATAACTAATACAAATATTATTTTCTCAAATACATTCCACCAAACAATCATTAAGTCATTATTGGGAAAAAGATTTCCCTCACTTTAGCTTGTACTCCTAAATATTTGAAAAAGACTAGGAATGAAAATAAAGAAGTTAGAAAGTCACTGGACGATAAGGAAATGGAAACTACTTAACCCCCAGTGTCCATTTTGTGGTGAAGGGAGAATGTAATATGACTAGAAAGTTCAAGAATAAAATTGAATACGTATCGTTTGTGTAGAATAAAAGTTTCGAGTTAAATATTTTTAAATTTATAACTTTTTTCCTAAAATCAATCCGCTAATTACTTTTGCTATCGCAGTTGCCTTCTTCTTCTTCTTATTGTTGTTTTGGTTGTAATTGCTTTTTCTTGATCATGCTTCGTTTTTTCTCACTTCCTTCAAGATATTAAAGTTGTATTTTGTTCCAACTTTTACATTGATGTAATAATATTCATATACAATCATATGTACTAAATTGGCCTGGACAAATACTAGACAAAGACTTATTTAACTTGGCCAAATAAAATTAGCCGGCTTACTTGTATGACTTCCAAGATCACTAATTTTGCTTTACTTTTCTTCTCTCAACACATGAACACAACAACTAAAGAGTTACCTAGTGTACTAAACTCTCGCTATGCACAAGGACCAGAGAAGAGTCAAATCATATAGAGAGTTGTTTCTATGGTTGGGGTTTGAACCATGACGTTCTAGTCGCATAGCTACAACTTTACTGTTGGACCTAGACAACATAGTCCTAATCCCATTTTGACAAAAACAGAAATAACTCCTCCCCAGCGGAAGTTGAAAAAGGGCAGGCAACATGGGAGAGATCATTAGCTCTCCATTCTAACAAGCACATATCATGGAATTTTTTCGTAAACCAGAAATATAAATTTACAAAAACAATATTAGAAGCAATATAGCAAGCTCATCTATACAATTATAACAGTATGCTCCCTCTTGGAGTTCTCCAGCACTGCTGATTGAACTAGCAAGCGGGCATATTTACGTTGTTCTTCTTTTAGTTCCTTCCTTAGCAAAGTTACCTACATACATAAAAAAAAAATTACATGTTCCCAGCTGATCTTTCATAATATACTAGAGCAAAAACTTGAAACTAGATGCTGCTGTTCAACTGCTACAAATGATATATAGCATGTATCTTTCAAACATCAAAATATAACAGGTCTGCAATTCTATTAAAATTACCTTGGCATTAAATTCCTCTTCCTTCTTCTCAATTTCCAAGCATCTGAGACACAGAAAAACCACATGAAAGGAACTTCAGAAAAGAGAATCTGAAAAGGTAGTATGTAACAAGTTACAACTCCACGAGGTTCTTCACATGGGAGAATGCAAACTGCTGGCAATTATGAACTTATGTACATGTACCCTTTCCTAAAGTTCGGCTGCAATTGGAATTCTATCATGTCTTTTTATACCGCTCCTTGGGAGCTCCCACCATTTTGCTTTCTTGGTGACTCGAACCTAAAACCATAGGATTGAAGGTGGAGGGTGCTTACCATCTGAGCAACCCCCCTTGTCTAGAATTCTATCATGGTACTCCTCTTCCATTCCATTATTATATATATATATATATTCCATTTGTTTCAATTTATGTATCTAACTTCCCTTTTGGTCTGTTTAAAAGAGAATGGTACTTTTTATTTTTAATAACTCTTTAATTACAATATCTCATAAAACATGTTTAAGACCACATGATTCAAATGACACTTTGTATACTACATGCGTCTTAGTTTAAGACCACGAAATTCAAAAGATTTCTTATCAAAAGTCAAACTATGAACACATAAAATGAAACAGAGGGAGTAACATTATTCATTTTTGTGATACCTTTTTATTATTGACAAGTCGTATACTTTAACATTCTCATTTATCACTTAATGACATGACAATAAAACCAAAAAAAGAAAAAAAGGCATGTCATTAAAAAACACAAACTTCTTCTATATTATTTATGTTGTGTCAAAAAAAATTCATTCTTTATTAAACTCCTCGTCCAATTCAACACCGCCATGATGGTAATTATGATAGAGAAGAAATCAATTGACACATTTTGAACATACCTTGCATGGAGCCTTTTATTCTCTTTAAGGAGGAGGACCATCTCTTGATCTTCCAAGGGACTTGTGATAGTGGTTGCAGGCTATGTTCATTTAAACACAAAAAAGAGATTAAAACAGTAGCAGTAAATGTGACATCAAATGCATGATAGGACAATAAAGATGTGGTAAAACATAATGCTACGTTTCACAGCCAATTAATGAAGTCAAAGTAGGTGGAGGAAAGTTCAAGACACAAACCGGATTTTGAATAGACTCAGGATCAGGTAGATTTACACTTAACCCCGCCTTCTGTTTCAAAATTTCAGGTTCTATTTGATGATCACAGTTTTTCCTTTTTGCGGTTGCTGTAAGTCACAAGAGAGAGTACATGAGAGGATGCTTAGGACAAAAAGTGTTTAGAGCTGATAAAAACATTTAACATTACTTTTGTGAGGGAAAACGAAGAACTGACATAGCTAGCAAGTATAGTGCAAACTCAAGGATCAGTTTGTTAAATGGCTAAGTGTTAGACCTATTTTGATAGCAAATGGAGGTAAAATGCAAGTTGAACAAACCTCAAGAGATCATAGTGAAGTTTATACATCAATACTGTGGAATAAGATTATTGAATAATTTCATTCATATCTTTCTATGTCATGTACATGGCTTTATATATACATAAAAGATTGTGGAATAGAATCACCTAAATCTTTACATTAAGAGAAAGAATCAGAGATATGATATTCTAGATTACCACAATTATACTAAGATCTTAGAGGATCATGTCTTGATAGGAAGAATATCTTCTCATCTTAGAGGATCACATCTTTGATGACAAGAATATCTTGGAAATTTGTCATTAGCCAACACTCCCCCTCAAGCGGGTGAATGGATATCTTCCATTCCTAGCTTGCTTATTAGATCTTGAAACATATTGTTTGGCAATCCTTTAGTTAAAACATCAGCAACCTGATCTTTTGTAGATACAAATGGCGTACAAATGAGTCCGTTATCTAATTTCTCCTTAATGAAATGTCTGTCTACCTCAATATGCTTAGTGCGATCATGTTGTACAGGATTATGAGCTATACTTATTACTGATTTATTGTCACAATATAGCCTCATAGGTCCTCCCCATCTTATCTTCAAATCATCAAGGATTATCTTTAGGCATAACAACTCACAAACTCCCATCGCCATGGATCTAAACTCAGATTCTGCACTTGATCTAGCTACTACATTTTGTTTTTTACTCCTCCAAGTCACCAGATTTCCTCCTAAGAAGGTGCAATATCCAGAACTTGACCTTCGATCCACTAATGAACCAGCATAGTCCGCATTTGTATAAGCCTCTAAAACCATGTTTCCTCCTCTTTTGAATAATATTCCTTTTCCTGGACTTCCTTTAAGATATTGTAGAATCCGGTTGACAGCTTGAAGATGCATTTCTCTAGGATCATGCATAAATTGGCTAACAACACTTACAGCAAATGCAATGTCCGGCCTTGTATGGGACAAGTAAATCAATTTCCCTACAAGCCTTTGATACAAGCCTTTATCTACCACTGAATCTTCTGGAGCATTGCACAATCTATGATTGTATTCAATTGGTGTAGCCACTGGTTTACACCCTAATTTTCCAGTTTCTTTCAACAAATCAAGCACATATTTTTGTTGGGAAATAAAGATTCCTTGTTTTGAGTGTGCCACTTCGATTCCCAAAAAATACTTTAATTTCCCAAGCTCTTTGATGTCAAATTCCTTGAGTAAACACTTCTTCAAATTTTGTATCTCCTCTGAATCATCACCTGTTACTATGATGCCATCCACATAAACCAACAATGCTGTCACTTTTCCTGTTTTTGAGTGTCGTATGAACAAGGTGTGGTCTCCTTGACTTTGTCGATACCCTAGCTTGACCATAACCTTTGTAAATCTTCCAAACCATGCACGAGGTGATTGCTTTAATCCATAGAGTGCCTTCTTCAGTCTACACACCATTCCCTTCTTGCTTTCAAAAGCAGGTGGCACCTCCATATAGATCTCCTCATCTAAGTCTCCATGTAAAAAGGCATTTTTTACATCAAATTGTTGTAGGTTCCAATTAAAAACTGCAGCCAATGATAATAAAATTCTCACTGTATTCATTTTTGCCACTGAGGCAAAAGTCTCCAAATAATCAATTCCATAGGTTTGTGTATAACCCTTTGCTACCAAACGTGCTTTATATCTTTCTATGGACCCATCTGACTTATATTTCACAGTAAACACCCATCTGCACCCGACCAACCTTTTTCCTTTTGGTAATTCCACAATATCCCAAGTTTTGTTTTTCTCCAATGCTTCCATTTCTACCTTCATAGCTTTCTCCCATTCTTTATTTCCTAATGCTTCAGACAAATTTCTAGGGATAGGAATTGTGTGGAGGTTACAGAGAAAAGCTTTATGACTTGGGGATAGATTTTGATATGTCATGGAGAGGCTCAAAGGGTGTTGTGTGCAAGTTCTGGTTCCTTTTCTGATTGCAATGGGAAGGTCAAGGACATTAGGTTGGTTAAATTCTTCTTCATGATCAGTTTGGTTTGGTGTTTCTGACGGTTCAACAAGTTCAGGATGGGTATCAGGAGCAGTAACCTGAGGAGATGATTGCAACCGAGTAGTTTGATCAGTTAGTCTCTTTCTTCTGGAATATACCTGCAATGGTAGATTATTTTCTAGAATTCCATTATCTATATTTGGATTAGGAGACTCAATGGGTTCATTTGGATTTAGAGACTCAGGTGACTGTAGAAATGGCGACTCAGGCAAGGATTTAGCACGACTAGAAATGGACAAATCAAACAGTGACAAGTCTAGAGGTTCCTTTCCCTTCAGTGGCTCCCCCTGATTGTAAGAATGATTAAAAAAGGATTCACTCTCATCAAATGTGACATCTGCGGAAACAAAGAATTTCTTTGATGATGGTTGATAACACTTGTAACCTTTTTGAGTAGGAGAATATCCTATGAAAACACACTTAAGAGCACGTGGGTCTAATTTGCCTCTATTTTGAGAATGAATATGAACATAGGCAACACTTCCGAAGATTCTAGGAACCAATTTATTGGAAATTTCAAAATTTGGAAAGAAATTCCTAAGAGTATCAAGCGGACTTTAAAAGTTCAGAATTCTTGATGGCATTCTGTTACTAAGATGTGCAGCAGTTAGGACAGCTTCCCCCCAATACTGTTTTGGCACCTTTTTGTGAAACAATAATGATCTAGTAATGTCAAGTAACAGACCATTTCTTCTCTCTGCTATCCCATTTTGTTGAGGAGTATTGACACATGAAGATTCATGAATAATTCCCTCTTTTTGGAAGAAAACAGAGAGGTTTTGATTGAAGTAGTCCTTGGCATTATCGGATCGAAATCTTTTAATTGCCACATCATATTGGGTTTTGATCATATTAAAAAAGGTAGGAAGAATTTGACTGACATCTGATTTTTGCTTTAGCAAATAGATCCACGTAACTCTTGTACAATCATCAATGAATGACACAAACCATCTAGCACCAGAAATATTAGGAATGGGAGAGGGTCCCCAAATATCACTATGAATAAGAGAGAATGGAGTTTGACATCTTTTGTGACTAATTGGAAAGGAAGTATGTTTGTGTTTTGCAATTTCACAATCATCACAATTAAAAGACTCAACAATCAAATCTTTGAACAAAGATGGGAACATCCTTTTGATTACATAAAAGGAAGGGTGACCTAACCGACGATGATAAAGCCATATTTTCTCTTTATTGGACATGATAGATTCAGACAAGAATGAACTAGACAAGGAATTCTTAGATATATATTCACCATTGTGGAAATCCAAACAATAAAGACCACCTTTCTCACTAGCACGCCCAATCATCTCCTTCGTGTTCTGTTCCTGAAATAAGCAATATGAAGGGAAGAAAGTTACTTGGCATTTGGAATCTTTGGTGAGTTTCTGGATAGAAATGAGATTTGCGGATAACTTTGGGATATGAAGGACATCTTTAAGTATCAAGGATTTTCCAAGTGGTATGTCGCCTTGCCCAGCTACAGTAATAACTGAACCATCAGCTATAGTTATTTTTTATAGCTAGGACAAGGGGAATATGATATGAAGAGATGAGAGAGACTGGTCATGTGATCAGTTGCCCCGGAATCAACCACCCACGTTGGAGAAAGTTTGTCTGAGACATTAGTAATAAAAGAGTAAGAAATACCTGTGAAGGCCAATAAACAACTATCTGCTGAAGCTGAATGTTGCAAATCTCCAATTGAAACTGTAGAGTTATTCTCTACGGTTGCAGAAACATTTTCAGAGACTGGAATATTTGCGGCAGTACCATTTTCAGACATGGTTTGGACTGATAAAGATAGCAAAACGGGATTTTTCAAGATAGGATGAATAAAATTGGCCAGGAATAAGCCTAAAGCTCTGATACCATGTGGAATAAGATTATTGAATAATTTCATTCATATCTTTCTATGTCATGTACATGGCTTTATATATACATAAAAGACTGTGGAATAGAATCACCTAAATCTTTACATTAAGAGAAAGAATCAGAGATATGATATTCTAGATTACCACAATTATACTAAGATCTTAGAGGATCATATCTTGATAGGAAGAATATCTTCTCATCTTAGAGGATCACATCTTTGACGACAAGAATATCTTCTTGGAAATTTGTCATTAGCCAACAAATACTGTGTCCAATGCATACAATCATATAAGTACATGGAAATGGGATCTATGAAAACATGCAAGACTGGAGACAGCAATAAGTTCCCAAACAAACATCTAATATGAATTGTTACTTTCTTCTGTCTCCATCTGTCCCCCTAATCTGATCAAATACTTAAAAATGTCCAATGGTGTGAGAAATATAGGAAAAGAATATTATTGAATTGTTGTTGTGTACATTATTACATTGAGACCCTATTTATAGACCCTAGAATACAATCCTTTACCAAGTAGGATACTATTTAGTATTCCTATTTCTATTTCTATTACTATTCCTATTCTAATAGGATTGTATAAACCTATTCCTATTCTAATAGAATTGTATAAACATATTCTTATTCTAATAGGATTGTATAAACCTATTCCTATTCTAACACTCCCCCTCAAGCTAGTGCATACAATTCATGTACCTAGCTTGTTACAAATGTAATTAACACGAGGACTGATGAGGGGCTTGGTGAAATCTGCAAGTTGATCACTCGACTTCACAAAATTGACAATCAATCTCAATGTGCTTGGTCTTCTCATGAAATACTGAATTTGATGCATAATGCCGATAAAACACAGAAGAGTGATAAAATTACAGTGTTGGAACTTTCCAAACCAAACTTGCAAAGACTGTTTCAGACCATAGAGTGACTTACGTAATCAACATACAAGGCTACTAAACTCCCCCTGAGCAACAAAATTAGGTGGTTGCTCCATATAGACTTCTTCACAATGCAACGGTCGTAAGTGCTCAAAATCTAGTGTAAAGTATATGGATCATGTTGGAATCACTAGACGAGTTGATATCAGACAAGTCACCGAAAAACTAGCCAGAACATGCTCATATGCCGGAGTATTAGATTTGATGGCTAAAAGTGGTCACAATCTAAGAAATAAAATTATATGGGTAGAGTCGGAATGATGTTACAACCCAACTAGAAAATATAAATTATATAGGATAGTTTGAATTTATGGAACGACCCCATTGAAAAAGAGAAATAATATGGGTAGGGTCAGAATGTTGGCACGACCCTACTGAAAAAGAAACGGGTAGGGTTGGAATGATGGCACAACCCTACGCAAATCAGATTTGAGGAGTCACCGGAAAGACGAATGGAACTATGCAAATCAAATCTGAGGAGTCACTGAAAAGACACATGATGCTATGCAACTCAGATATGAGAAAATAGTTCGAAAAAATCCACGGTACTGCACAAATTAAATATGAAAAGTAGTCCGAAAAGATGCACGGTGCTACACAAATAAGATATGCAAAAAAGGTAGTCACCGGAAGGATGTCACGGTGCTACACAAATTATATATGAAAAAGTAGTCACTGGAATGATGACACAGTGCTACACAAAAAAGTAGACACCAGAATGATGGCACGGTGCTACAAAAATTAAATATGAAAAAGTAGTCACCGGAATGATAGCACGGTGCTACACAAATTAGATATAAGAAAATAGTCACCGGATAGATACACGGTGACCCAACTTTTGTTAACATAATCATTGGCCAGACGGGCAGCATATATGGGTGCCACCCGCCGGCAGCGAAAGCTCTTTAATTCTCTACCAAGTTTGTAGAGGCTCTGATACCATGTGAGAAATATAGGAAAAGAATATTATTGAATTGTTGTTGTGTACATTATTACATTGAGACCCTATTTATAGACCCTAGAATACAATCCTTTACCAAGTAGGATACTATTTAGTATTCCTATTTCTATTTCTATTACTATTCCTATTCTAATAGGATTGTATAAACCTATTCCTATTCTAATAGAATTGTATAAACATATTCTTATTCTAATAGGATTGTATAAACCTATTCCTATTCTAACAGACATATTACAATACGACAGTTTAAGCCCTAGTTTTTCTCAACAGAATGGGGTGATGCGTACCATGTTTCTTTCTAGATTGCGGTGAATCCTGAGAAGGTGCACGAAGCTGTTTAGTTGCATGATAACCAATTAATCCACAGTGATGGTCCCTGTCAAAAACAAATATAATACATAGAAGCATTCAAGCATCAGATAAAAACTCAATTACCGAGAATCACACAAAAAGACGAGCACAAATTTGAGAATTCCTTGCTGAAAACAAAAATTTGTGCATAGAATAGGCTGTCTAAGAACAGAAGCAATTCAGTTCAGTGCCTAAACAACAGTTTACAGGTGTATGATCCATGTGCAGAAGTAAGGTAAACTGGCTGTCCAATTATAGGAGCGCATCAGCAGAGTGCTAAACAGAACTTTGTAGGCGAATTCTCTCAAAGAATAGCCTACCAGTACTCCCATGTCATCTCCTTTAATCGGTGCTCAAGCTTGTGAAAGAGGGGAGTTTTCTCAAAGTCCTGTTTATTATGAGTTGGCTTAATAAAATTTGCTTCTAGAACACCTAAAAAAGGCAAGTAAACTAGTTAGCACCTTTTCCAGCCAGTAATTGACAGAAGGATTGAACACCATACAAGTAGAAAAGAAAAGCTCCATAGGCTTACCTACAACCCCTCTGCTTCTATTGACAGAAATGCCTACTACCACGTGCCAAAATGGCTGCAAAGAAACGAATGGGAACTTTCAAGAGAAAATATATAGGCTCTGAAGATCATTTATCAAAGGGATATAAACACAGAGCATACCGTACACTTGTCCCAAAACCAGGTTAAGTGCAGAATGTACATTTAACATTAGTTGATAAGTAAAAGACTTCAAAAAATGGAAGGAAAATTTGAGGGTTACCAAAGGCATGTTCAAGGAAAGGTCACGTGTACAGAGGAATACATAACTAAGAGTGTAACAGAACTAATACTGAAACACTTATTCAGACCCGCAGCAAACAGTTTATATTTAGAAATCCTTTTCCTTAATACTGCATATGTATCAGGTCCTCATCCATTTTCCTTCTTGTCCTTTTTTTCATTTTCTTTTTTCATCAGATTATTGGGTTCCTAATAAGCGGTGAAGGTCTGAACATCTATGCAAAATAATTTTGTAGGAACAAAGGTGGGATTTTTACCATTTACAATTTTACTCATTAATTTCAATCATTATCAAGTCCTAGAGTCCACCTAAAAAGCTATGTTTTTGAAAAGTGTGACCCGGCTTGGAAAGAAGTGCGGAAATTTCTAAAGGTGATAGACAAGGCAAAGCACCATTTACAAAATCAAAACATTGGATAGAGGAAACACACCAGTATCAAACGATTCTTGTGGTAGACATTGAAACCATGAATATTCACCAGTGGAGCTTCCTTTAGGAAACCAATGGAAGTAATGACAGAACCCTGCAAAGAACAAAAAATAACAATTTAAGAATCTTAGAAAAACTGTACTATGTAGCTCTCCAAAAATATCATTTCTACAGTAGTATTACTTTTTATCCTTCGGAGAAGTTCCATTAATGTTTTAACTCAAACTACCCCTTTACACGTTTATACATTTTGCTTCAAAAAATCTACATATATGTTGCGTGTGTAACTATATATAGGCCTCTTTTCAATCATAAGCAGATTAAAAGAATAAATGAACAATATAAAGTCCCTATTTTTTTTAAATAACCGAGAATTCCCCGATGGCCAGCAGGCGGCGCATGGTTCTGACAAATAAAATAGAGGAAAAGAGCATATACTGTTCTGAAAAATAAATAGAGGAAAAGAGAAGGCTCCGATCAATGTTGTCAATGATTTACTTTACACTATGTTTGACTAAGTTCTCTCATATCAAAGACAAACTAGTGGAAACCTCTTCACATCCACCATTCTGAGGTTTGTACAAGATAAATTCTCGATACTTGAGATCATTGGCAATGTTATGATACTCTACAATCTGCCCGCACAGCCATATGCAAAAGTTTTCTGGGATTCGCAAGTACAAGATAGATAAATATGCCTGTTAGAAGAGAACACAAAAGAGTTAGAAATTAGGGATCTCCTTGAATGAAGAAACTTCAAGTGCATCTTGATCATTAAAGAACTTACTCGGAGTGAATATCGAAGAGTGTTGGCAAGATGCAGGTCACTTACTGACATGCGGGAGTAACTTTTACCACTTTCTGCATCACAAGAGATACGAATATCCTGCTTATTGTAATAGAAGTAGTCCTATTATGGTAAGTAACAGGGCTAGAAATTCCAAATGGGAAAATTAGTTTAGAAAGAAGAAATCAAACCTCAGGGTCTGAGTAGAAGTCGAGCTCCATTTTTCCATCATCATTTAGCCACAAATTGTAGATTATGATCTTCGAGCCATGATCACCAATGCTATCAAACTGTGAAGGGAAAAGAAATAGCAACATAATCAGAATATAGAAAATACAATGTTTCATCTAATCAATATAGGTCCAGCCATCCAGGAAACTTAGAACGGTAACAAAATCAAGCCCTCCAACACCTTGAGAAAAAAGGGAAAATGGCTTATAAATCTAAGACAGCTGGTCAATGGATAAGGTAAGTATTTAAACATTTATTCTGATGAGGTGATTAGAGATGAAGAAAGTCCACGAATAGAATATTGAAGTAACTAGGCCTAGGCAACTTTCAGAGTGAACAGTTTCAAATAGACTCTAGAATTCTGAGTATCAAACCACCATGACATCCTGAATTTTTCAAGCACCAAAGGAAGAAGAACCAGAACACATTTTCATAATGACAAGAAAGCACGTGTTTAGGTGTTCTAACTCATGCACCAGATGTTCCCCTAGTCACATGCCCTTGCTATTCCACACACTTTAGCCCTTTCTTACATGTCAAATCACTCTCCAACATAACCAAAACACCATCAGCATAACTATAATTAATTACACGTTCTGTATATGGAAGAATGTCTAATACAAGATAAATCTGAATTTTATGGAGTATTTAATGGCATATGGATGAGAGCAATGCATGAAGCCATTCTAACACAGGACAACCTTAAAAAGAGGAAGATTTAGATTGTGAATAGATGCCACATGTGCAACAGAGAAGTAGAAACTCATAGCCATCCGTTTCTGCAGTGTCCGGCTGCTGCAGACTTATGGCACATGTTCCTCACCCTTTTTGGCCTCAGATGGGTAATGGCCAACACTATCAGGGAAGTTTTTGAATGCTGGAGCCACTGGACAGTTGACAGCACCATCAAAAAGATTTGGAAGATGATACAAGATGACATTTTTTGGACTATTAAGAATGAAAGAAATAGAAGATGTTTTGATGCCCTCTCAACTAGCCAATCTATGCTCAAAGTTAACTGTCTTTTGTATTTATACCATTAGGTTTTTTTGTCCCCAATGGATTCCCCTGATAGCTTTTGAGATTTTGTTTGCTCTATGATAGTGTACTGGAGATAGCATACTAGTGCTCACTCTTTTGTAACTACTTTGCATCTTGTTGATGCCATGAATGGAATCAATTACTTCATCTTAAAAATAATAATAATGAAAAAAAAAAAAAGAACAGGCAAATTTGATGCAGGTTTAGACTCACTTGCTTAAGAAGCTCTTCCTCAGTTGAAAATGGAGACCACTGCAACAACAATGAGAGATTGTTCACAAAATGCTGTTCACTGCAGATTGAAGTCCATTTGCTAGTTGCTGACATGAACTCATATTCAATCTGTATCATATGAGCAAAGAAGTTAAAATAATTGACTGGCAACTGACTAGCCACTAAAGAGTTATTCAACTTTCAACATTCTACAATCATTTCCCACCTCAATTTTCTCAAATCTCAAATTACTCGTAACAAATTTTGGTTTCACCCTGTGGAGGATGAGATGTTGCCCCGGTTAGGAGGTGTGAGTGGTTGGTCGTAATGGGCTTAAGGGATGTGGGGGGGAGGCTCAGCCAAAGAAGTATTGAGGTGAGGTGTAAAGTGATTAGGCAGGATATGTCGCAACTGCAGCTCATCAAGGACATGACCCTTGATATGAGGGTGTGGAGGTTGAAAATTAAGGTAGAGGATTAGTAGGTAGTCAGGTGAATTTCTTTTCCTTTCCCTGTGTATCAGTATTATTCTTGTTTTTCATTATTTTTCAATTTCTGTTTCTACATGTTGTTCCTTTTGCCTCGGTTATCTTATTATCTTGATGTTGTTTCTGCTTGTTGCTACTGTCTCTTTTTTATTGTTCTTTGAGCTGAGGAACTTTCAGAAACAACCACTACCTTCTCAAGGTAGGGGGCAAGGTATGCGTACACTCTACCCTCCTTAGACCCCACATGTGGGGATTACACTGGCTTTGTTGTTGTTGCACGTAAACAATTTTTTTCACTTTGATGATGCAAATTGCATGTAAATGAAGTAATACATGAAATAGATTCAAAAGTAGGAAGCAAATAAATTACATGGTTAAACCTTGCTATTCCAATTGAACCTTATTTTTTTTATCTCTAAAGATTGTCAATTTGTTATATAAATAACATTGCATATAATTAATTAGTACATAGTATTTTTGGGGCCTTTTAACTTTTGGTGCATAAGGCAATGACTTCATTTGCCTTCCCCTCGAGCCGCTCCTATTGGCGAGGGTTAGTCTATGAGAGATAGCATCCCAAACAATTTAAAAGGATATGGACAAGGTAAAACTTGCACCTACATTCTAAAGGTTAACTTAACGCATTCAACGAAACCACAAATACACAAGTACCATTGCTCATGTTGTCGCAGGCGTGCTGAGAACATAAAAAAGAAAGGGGCTGTCTTGAGAAAAAAGGGGACTGAACGATATTTTCAGAATAAATAAATGCTTGTAGATCAAATAACCAATCCAATTACTTGTAGATTACACCAAAATGCTTTGAAAGGCAAATGAAGAGGCTCACCATAGGTACCACTATTCTGTCAAGGCCTGCTCGTGTCAAAAATGTAAAAGAGAGAAGACCGACACTTTGTGTCAATTTCCTGCTCACAGTAGCAATGTAAAGAAATTAAAAGATTAATGTTCAAAGAGACTGTCAGAAACTCGTTGACCAAAAAAGATGATGCTTTTATTCACGTTAGAATGAATATAAGTAGTATCTTACATAAACTGACCATTCAGGAAATAGAAAAGAAAACAATGAGTCCATGTTCCAAAGGAGGAATAACCTAAGGTATCCCCTAGGTATTCAAAGGAAAAGAAGAAAGAGCAATCCTTTCTGCTTTTTAAATGCTACCGGTCCCAAGAAGAGATACTTACTCCCTCCATCTCATTTTTTTTTCCAAAAAGAAAACTTTTGAGGTGGAAGGAGTAATATCTCTTCTAAGACTAGTGCATCTCAAAGTGTACATTCACCTTGTTTATAAAAGAAAATTCCTTCCTGTGTTGAGTTATCCTAAAGTAAAACAAATCTCACTTTGACAGTGAACCTCTTTTTCTCTTCTTCTCCACAAGTGCAAAAGAGAAATCTAAAAAGAGAACGGAAAAATAAGAAGAGGAAGCGAGAGAGAAAACAATACCTTTAATTCCTAAAACTTATGACAAACTCCAATTTGGTCTCAAGTTAATTTGGTGAAAGAGTTTGTCCTGGAACTCTTAAATCCAATTTTCTTGTTTTGCACAAGAAGCGACAAGGCTCCTAGGGCTTGAAGTGGAAAGCGAGAAGTGAAGTGTATGCTTCGTTGAAGTAAAGCACGTAATTTACAAAATAAGAATAGGTGAAACACATGGATAGACACTCTATTTTGACACCAAATACCATTTAGAACACCTAAACTTTACCCATGACTAGACACTTCTTGGCAGAAGTGTGACCGTGAACCCCTCATGCTGAAACAGCAAAAATTGTATTTTCCACTCAACTTCAGGCGCATGAAGACCCTTAAAATTATGTTTCTTTCCGTGTGAACCCCACTTCTTCACCCCAACACCAACACCCTCTGGCCACCATCCTAACAAAAACAATATCACCACCACATATTCACCAAAATAAACATATCCACAGCAGGGGTGGAGAGAGAAGGGAGAAGAACAATAACAGGGAGTAGATTTTGAAAGAAGAATAGAGGCAGGGAGGGAACGGAGGAGCGGAGAAGAGGGGGACGAGGCGGGTGGAGCGAAGCGGCGAGCATTGGCAGGGAGAGGGGGCTAATCTTGGAAGAAGAAGAAGAGGGGGGTAGATCTGTTAGGCTCTCTGTAAGTAGTTTCTCCCCTTCTCTCTCTTTTTTTTTTGTCTTGTTCCTCTTTTGAAGGTCTCCAGCATATCCTTAATGCTGAGGAATACAACATTACCAGTTTCAAAAAAAAGAAAGAAAAAAAGAGGGGGGCGGGGATGGGGGTAGTCTTTTTCTTTAAGAACAGAGTAATAATAAAAGTTACAATTACTTTTTTTTATACACTTGTCGATCACTGATTTGTTTGTTTGACACATCAGAAGCATTCGCACTTCACACATATGGTCTTGTCAGAGTGTCATAAGAGATACACTTCCTCTAAGAAGGTATGTCAATTTGATCACTGACAAAAAAGGCGTCTATCTTTGAGTGAGATATCTATGAATTTCGTCAAAGTTATATAAAAAATAGTTGTTTTCTGTACTATAATAATCAAATTGCAATTAAGATAACTACAATTTAAGGAATAGATCGCCTTCTCGTTGAGATCATTTGTGCATCATTATTTGAAGTGCACACTTCTTTGAAGCGTGTAGGAGTTCACCCATGAAGGATAACTCCTCGCTTCACATTACTTCCATCACTCTAAGAGATGAAACGGTGGTTTTAATAATAACGCTTAAATCAGTAACAGATCAAACCAAACAAACAAGCAGTTGCAAGCAAAATATTACCCCCTAATTTCAACTCCTTCAAGGTGTATGTAGGAAGCTTCTTCCTTCACTTCGACAAGTCAAAAATCAAGATTATTATGTCGAACAGAAGACCATAAACCCCTATTATACAAAGTTGTAATGCTGTGTAGAGATACATCAGCATCTCTCTCCAACTAACTGCATAACCTAAAGGAAGAGACACACCACACTATTGACTGCTCAATAGTGTAAAGTTCTCTCAGGTCAACAGAAGGAAAAAAAGTATACAGCACGTGCAGTTATAGTTCACTGGTATCAAACCTGTTCTTCATACAGCGGCTGAAGACAACAACGTCAGCCCCAAGTCTCATCGAACTTGTCTTAAAACCGTTTCCATCTGAAAAGGAGGTGTAATACTTGTATAAAAAGTAATGGGAGAACAAGAAAGTAACAATAATTACTTAATATCCATACACTGTCCAATGGCTGTTTTGGACTTCTTATCTGAAAATCCAAAACTCAGACAGCATCGCATGGCTTCTTGGTCCATTCCACCACCATCATCTAGTAGAATATCAGACAAAGTCACAATCTCGTACTAACAGTTGTTCAACAAGAAGAACAAACTTCACAATCACAAACAAAGAAAAAACAGAAAGATGTGGAATACCTTGAATTAACAAAGCTGAAGTTCCATCCTTCGGATTTAACATTTTATCTATAATGGCATAGGTGGCCCCATTTTGTATCTGTTACCATCAATGAAACATGGAATTCAAAAATAAAAATAGTAAGCACATTACCCAACTGCATGAGATCCATGAGTTACAATATTATCACATTTTTGACTGATTATAATCCCTGATATTGTCATCTATATGTGAAAAGATAAAAGAGATCTCTAATTGAATTGAGAGGCGCACACATAAAAGAGCATTTTTTTTTATTTACAACCACTTATTGGGTCTAAATAGAACAGAATGATTAAGACCTATAACAAAGTCTTATTATCATTACTATGCTATTAATTCAAGTATTTCTACAAAGATGACATTTCACCTCTAGCATCCGGCCACCACTATCAACTATTACTGCAGCAACAACAGCCTCCCACCATCCACAAACACCACTGCCTTCAATAACTACAATCAGCCTCACTACTACTAGCAACCATTTACAATCATCACCACCAACTACCATTACCACAACAATCATCTATCATTGCAAACAATCACCACCATCAGCACCACTACTACCATCAACCACTATATACTATACGCAACCACCATCACCATCCACCACTCTCAATCAGCCGCCACAACCATCAATGTGCCTATCCCTACTATCAACTACCACATAGTTTTTTTTAAAAAAAAAAGTTGGTATAGTATTAGATTAAGCAGTATTTTGTTTGAATTTCATAATTATTAGTTTTTAAATAGCAAAAAATTTTATGCATTTCAATGTCGAGAAAATAAGTGGGCGTTTAGCCATGAAAACAAAAAAAATCACTTTATTTAGAATTCTCAAAGTTGGAGTTGGAGTTGGAGTTGTGTTTGGCCATACTTTTTAATATTTAGAATTTGAATGTTTTTTTTAGAAGAACATGAAATATGATTTGAACATAAATATAATTTAAATGAGGTTATTTCATAAAAATAAAAAATTTAGGGTAAATTTGAAAAATAAAAATTTATAAAGTGAAAAAAAGGTGAAATCAGGGTTTTTGGTGTTTTCTAAATTTCAAGTACAACATCAAGTTGTATTTGAAATTTTTATGGTCAAATACTGATTTTCAAATTAAGTGAAATAAATTTCTGAAAAAGTGAATTCTCATGGCCAAACGGGTCATGAACAATCTTTAGTTATTTAGTATTTAGATCTTAATACAATATCTTAATATTCAGTTTCAAACATCTTATCTTAATCTTAATATAAAACAAACGGGCCTTAACCAAAAGACAAGCTCATCAGATAGGCAAATGGAGGAATAGAGTAGGTTAAAGTTGCTCGGGACCTATTGCCTCCCCATCTCCTTAAGGAAGAGTAAAGCTTATTCATGAGAATGATTTGTAGTTCTCATAAGAAAAGAGATTGCAATCGGTACCTAGTGTCAATCAATCAAGATTCGCCATCAAAAAAGGGAAGAGCCTTGAAAAAGGAGTTAACTCACTAGGCTAGAATTATATCACATTATCTTACATTGCTACTCATGTCAACAGTTAGAATCCCCAAATGTTGAGCAGAATAGATTATTGTCTCCTAATATGGTCTTAGGCAATCCTCACTTTATTAGCTAGTTTTGGGGGTCAGGTTAGACCCTAGATCCATTTTCTTTTATATGGTATCATAACCAGACTCATCCCTATTGTTAGTTTACCCAATGTTTGGGTCATACATTATATCGTCTACGCTTCAAATATCCCAACCTTGGTGTACAATGGGGAAGTTAGAATGTACCACATTGGAACAGACTCTTGTCTCCTTATGTGGTATTGGCAACTCTCACCTCATGAGCTAGCTTTGGTTAACCCCGTGTCCTTTTGCTCTACATCAACAAACTTAAAATTCCGATCAAATGGAGTGATAATATAGGTTAAACATAGATGTTTCACTTACTTTAGGTTTTTCAAACAAAAAAGTAGGTCAAAGACATCACAATTAGGACTTCTAAACAAAAATAGGGTTCAGTAGATAAGAGCATGAAAAGTTCACAACAAGAATAACATCCATATACTAAGTATGTTGGCAATTTTTCCACAGCGCAGCGGAAAATTGAAGGGACTTGCATGATTTCATGACCAAAAAGGAAACAAAACAGAGAAAAACTAAGAAGCAAGAGCAGCAATTTACCTCATCAACAGCATTGTCAAGCAGTTCAGCTATGGCTACAAAATAGAACACAAGGAAAGCAAGTGAAAGTCAGAAATTCTGTTGGGTGGCTACTTGTGATATGTCTAAGCTCTTCAAGCAATGTAGGCTAAGACATTGACAAGAATACATACCCCCAAATGCCCATTTATGGGAAGTGGCATTTGAGTGAAGGAACTTTGGGTGAACACGCAGGAAACTAGTCCCATCTTCCAAAAGAAACCACAAGTCAGATAACAGATAATGGAGATGTAAAATGCATACTTGACCCAGAATCAGTTGGTGAGTTAATGGACATGAAGCCTCACATACATACTTTAACTAGCAGGAAAAGGAAGAAAATAGGTGAAAGTATCACTTCAAATAATTTAAAAGCAGTAGGCAATCACTGCCAGACTCATCATTAATAGAATCTTTAAAGTCATCAAAGCATCTTGAAAGAAGAATACTTTTAGAGGACGACTTGTAAATAAGTCCGGAATCATAGTTTCCAGCTTTCCAAAACTGGCGGCAAAGAGGTGCTGGACATATAGGTGACATAGAGAGGCTTGAGGCATCAATGGGAGAGTGCTCTTTCTCCAGTAGAGTGGTTCCACTATGTCCGATGCTTTCAACATCTTGCCTTCGACTACTGGTTTGGTATTCTGGTTGCATGATAATTCAGTTTCTTGGTATTCCTTCAGTTGCATGACCTTCGAAACCAACTGCCAAAATTTAGGAGCCTTCACATCCACCCCTGCAGGATCATTGCTGAACAAGTCAATAATGTTTGTCAAACTCCTTAAGGATTGAAAAGGAATTAAATAACTGAAAATAATATATTCCACAAACAAAAGTCAGGAATAAGGATTTTAAAGCTAGAAGGTGACCTGCATAGGACTTTAAAGTTATGTTGCTCGGACTCTTCAAAAATGTCGTCAGGTGTGTGTTAGATCCTTCAAAAATAGTGCATTTTTGGAGGATCCAACGCGAGTGTGGCGACATATTCAAAGAGGCCGAGCAACTTAGCTTTAAAGACCAGGCGACCAAAATTTCAGAGATGTCCGGAGACAAAGACAGACAAAAGGACACTGTTAGACGAAACTCTTCACACATGCATATACTATTCTTACTCAGGAAGTCCTGTAAGTTAAAGTCCAATTATACTTGACCAGGGGACTAGTGTCTGTATTTCCACCTCCATGCCTGTAACACGACTAAACTTGTTTAATTTTTAGCAGGGAAGTTACAATTTGTACATCTAGAATTTCATTCAAAGGGACAAGATGAACTAAAGACTATTTTGTCACCTAGTAATGAGCATTATATAGGGCCTAAAGCACGGAAGAAATACAACAACCAGTTCAGCTAACTAATTGTTGGAGCCAGAATCCTAACAAAGGATTCAAAGAAATAAAAACAAAAAACTATACCTAGAAAGTTCTTTTATGCTAAGGATTCACCAGTTATATATACGAAAGAACACATATTTTGTACACTACTAGCACACTGTAAATTCCGGATGAAGGGTATTCAATTGAAACCGCTTCCTTCCTCACCTTTAGCTCCACCACTGTAGCCAGCTTTTCAATTCAGCAAGCACTAAAACTTAACTTTATTTAGTTTCACAAAGTCCATCCAATATTAGTTAAGCAACAAACCCAATATAGTCCCACAAGTGGGGTCTGGGGAGGGTGGTATGAATGCAGTCTTACCCTACCTTGTGAAGGTCACGAACATTAGTAAAGCCAACTGGCAAAATAAGCAAAAACTGGAGGCAGCGAGGAAGTAAATCTTTTCCAGGTTGACTTGTCATTCAAAAATCCAAACAGCAAATTAAGCCAACACTTGATGTACATCGCGACGAGATCTTTATCATTATCTTCTACTCCCTCAATTCCCTCAATCCCAATTTATGTGATGTAATTTGACTAGACACGAAATTTAAGAAAACTAGGAAGACTTCGCAATGTTTCAAACCCACCCTTAAAATAAATGAATTTCTAAATAAAAAAGTACACCTTTGTGGGTTTTTTGCCAAATAAGTGGGACCCAACATGGGTAAAATATAAGGAAATGTGTCAATTCTTTTTGGGACTGACTAGAAAGGAAAGTGTGTCGTAAATTTGGATAGAGGGAGTACTTTTTATGTTCTTCTTCTTTATCTTACCGAAGAAACAATCTATAGTTTAGAAAAAACTCTTATCTTTTCAAAAGCGAAAAATACCATCAATACTACCCCCTCCCCATTTTAGTTTATATGACAGTGTTTGACTAGCATGGAGTTTAATATAAAAAGTTTCCCACATACCAAAAGTACCATTAAAACTTGTGGATTAATTGACATTTCTATAGCTAAAGGAGCATGTCATTAAGGATGTGTTTGGTATGAAGGAATATGTTTTCCTAGAAAATGATTTCTTGGAAAACAAGAGGTTTCTTCCTTATTTTCTAGTGTTTGGTAAGTAAGCCAACAAATATTATCCCAAGAACATTTATATGTAATCTAACAAAACACTGTGAGATGGAACGGGGTGGGGAGTAGGGATTTGGGGTGGCGGAGTGTAATGGTCAAAGGGCGGAGGTTGGGACATTGGATGAATGGGTTGAAGACGATGAGTATGGAATGTTACCTATGAAACTTGTTTATCCTATTTCCACTAAGAAAGTCATTTTACTCATTTTTAAAGAATTTATTTTCCTAGATAAAATATTTTTCTAACAATTTTGACCAACCAAATATGCAAAAATTGGAACACGTACCAAACAAAACCTAAGAGTAAAACAAAACTTCAAAGTTAATGGCTTTTGAAATATAAAAAAGGGCCATTTTTATGAAATAGACTAACAAGGAATGAGTGTCATTTAATATCAAAGGGAGGGAGTTAATTTTTAGGGGGTTTAAAGATTATGATAGAGTTTTAGTAGTTCCAATTTGTTCAAAACTCATCCTATTATAAATAAGACACTCATATACTTCGTTTGCAAAGTACTTGAACAACAATTTATGCAACAATGCTCTAATTTGATTTATCCCCCTTTTTATTCCCATCGTGGTAGACAATTCACTCGAAAATCCAAATCCCCTCTTGGGAACAACAATTGTTTGCACTTCCTTCCTCCCTTAGAGCCTGTTTAGATGGGCTTATAAGTCAAAAATTAGGAATCAACCTTATGCTTTTGGCTTATTTTTACCTTTTTGGCTTAAAACAATTGCTTTAAAGCACTTTTTGTTTTACCCAAACACTATAAAAGTTTTTAAAAGCAATTTTGGCTTAAGACACTTAAAATAAGTCAATCCAAACAGGTTCACTCGAACTTTCAACCTCATAGTTGGACTCAAAGCTCTCAAAGGAACCTCCTCTTGGCTGGGAGTAGATATACACACACATGCATACAAAAGAAAAACCTAAATATTAGCAACTATAGACCTTCAAAGCCACTACACTCCTTCCTCATCACTTCCCTTCACATATTGATGACATAAGCTCACATAAACCTACTTTTTGATTGATAAGGGTTTAGGGCATTAGCCAACTTAGGTGCACCTTGACTATCACACTGAATACTTTATTACATTTCACCAAATCAAGTTACCAAGCATCTCACAGAGAAGCAATACTTCTCAATTAGGGCAACTTCAACAGTCCAAAAATCTTAAATGGAACCAAACATAACAAAAAAATCACATTTACCTCTTGAACAGTTATCAATGTCCAGTACATACCTTACTAGTTACTTAGTTTGTGCCCAATCACCAAGAGTTTTGAGAAGATTGGGATAAATTTTAGCCCTAATCTAACATTTTAGGTTTGAAATTGGGGAAAAGGAAATTTGAGTAGTTTAAGGCAACAAAAATGGGGTTAATAAGGAAAAATAAAAGATGGGTTAGAACTCCAAGACAAAAGGTGTTTTTTTATTTTATAAGAAATGTAGCTTAAGAAAGAAGCAACTCTAAATCTGAAAGTACATTTATACCCTCACTTCATATAACACTTCTACTCCAACATCCGCACCAAAATTGACTTTTCACTAACAACTTCATAGTGAGTAACTGCCGGCGAAGCACCGTCGTGAACGGAACAGGTGATAAGCGTCTACCCAGTCCAGTTAACGGTGATGGCGAGTGCGGCCAAAAACTTTCTTAATTTGTATTTTTTCTAATCCAAATGAAAATTTCATAATTCGTGAAATGATTTTTTTTAAAAATTCTAACTTTGATACAAATATGATACGAATGAACACCTAGTTCATAAATAAGATAACATAGTATTTTACGCATTTTATATTATTTTATTATATATCTTTTATGTTATTTTTATAAATACATATTTGAAAATATGTATTATTATAAATTTTCAAATACACAAAATTCACAAAGATTTATTAGTTCAATAAATCAGCAATAATAATAACTATTTATCATTTAATATAATCCTCTTACATAGTATGGACATTAGGTTATCTTTACATGAACATGATTTTTTTATGTAATTTTTTTAATGATGGATTTCTGTTTACAAAATATAAACTTAAGAATCAAGTTTTATAGTCAGAAAAGTTTGAAATCTTATTTATTTATTGGAGAATGTGAAATTTCAAATGATGATTTGAAATTATGTTTGTATTTACGTTTCATAGATAAACGTTAATTTCAAATCAACACTAAATTTAAGTTTCAACTCCAATGACCAAATGCACTAAGTAGACGTTTGGACCTGCGATTTCAAATCACGTTATGAAATCATAAGATGAGATCAGTCTTTGAACATGTAATTTTACGCTGATGAAATCTCAAATCTCCAAAAAGGATGATTTGAGAATTTCAAATCATGATTTGGGAATTTTCAAATACAAAAATTGACCCACAAGTTTATATTTTGTAAGAAAAACTCACATTTATATCTACTAACCATTTATTTTCTATATAAATAAAATTTATAATTCATATCGTTACTTTTAAAACTATTTATTTCTTATATATAACGATCATTCTCACAAATATATATAAAATTTATTATTACTTCAAATCAATTCTTACTTTACCATTTATATTCACCAAATTCATTATTTTTTATCAAATTTATTTACCAATAAATAACTCAAAGTAACAATGTTGGTCAGTCTTTCCTATCATATCATCGAGAAATGCAAGTTCAACGTGAGGAGATTGTTTATACTATGTGGGAGGATTATATTAAAGATTAATACATTACAACTTATGTTCAATTTTTTTTATTGAATTAAAGTTTGATGAATAACTACTAGGAAACTTTTGCTTATTTGGTAATATCGTATAAAGAATTGAGACAATTTTAATAGTTTTACAACTTATAAGGTTTTTATGTTTATAAGAAATACACAACATAAAAAATTCAAATTGCATGTCCAAACAAAACTTTAACTTTATTTTATGATTTTATATTATGATTTTATATCGCATAGTCAAACGGACCCTAAGTTTGAACTTTGAAGGAAAGAATCGTGTTTTGGAGAAAAGTTCTGACTTTTGAGTGTATCATGTATGTGTACAAAGTCCCACATGAAAAGTGGGGGCAGGGGGAATATTACTTATTTGATGTTGAATATTTTTAATGTTGTGAGAAATTTTTGAGAAAAACTCTGAATTTTGTCTAAAAAGGGAAATAGCATCACATTGTGGTAAGAGCATTTTGAGTTGTTTTATCCAATAATTGATATAAAAATCAATGATTCAAAGAGACAAGTATGGAGATGATTGAGTGATGATGTGGACCCGACTTATATTAGTACCTTTGTTGGGGTCGATTTTGCTACCTTTAACGTGTAACATTGAAAGCACATATATAAAAAAGGAAGTTAATAAAACTCTGTTGACCATAAATAAATACTCCATTGATATGGGCGACACAATTGATTTCTGCATTAACTCATGAAGGGTGAGTGACACATAATTTTCATTTTTCTCGTTTTACTTTCTATATTGGATTCCAACAAAGCATTACTAATCAT